AAAGGATTTCCTGGTTTGGTTTTCCTTCAACTTCATTGAAATTGAATTGCATTGATAGACTTTATAACAATCTTAATGTGATTAATGCCAGGGAATGAACTCATTTGTGTCATTGAACTCGTATCATGGGATCGAGACCAAAATGAACAGAAGGCGGTTTTTATTTGAATTTATTTGGTCAAGAATTTCAATATGAAATATTGAGATAATAATTTAACAGGGACGTATCGCATGGGAATTTTTTTCTAAACTTAGAAACATAAACTTTGTAAAAGGCGGACCAGCCTTTGCTACGTCCCTGTATATATCTTTTAATAGGTTTATTTGTATAAACATATGGATTTTCTCTAAAAGTTAATAAATAATTGAAGAAAATATGTATTTCAATTTAATTGTCACAAATATGTTTATTGGCAGAGATAATAAATAAAGGATTAAATTTATAAATAGATACATTTTAAAGAATATTTTTGGAATACCAAAAGTGGCATGAATTTATTAAAAATATTTTTCTTGCCCTATCATAGGCGTGGATTTATTAAAAATATTTTTCTTGTCCTATCATAGGCGTGGATTCATTAAAAAATATTTTTCTTGACCTATCATAGGCGTGGATTCATTAAAAAATATTTTTGTTGCCCGCCCTATCATAGGGGTGGATTTATTAAAAACAACCTATGATACATTTAACTTCATTCAGGCAGATTTAGAGTCGTCTGCGCACAATGGGATACATTTATGGAAAACTATTTATAACAAAATTTAGAGTCGCTACGCCGCACTGTTAAAAATTTAATTTCAATCAAACACCCTTCCAAAATACCTATGGAAGCTATGGCTGCATCTGCACCAGTTTCAACCAAACCCAATAACGTCATTCAAGTCTCAATTTGATACGTTGCGCAAAATTTCGTGTTAATCGGACAAACATTAGGAGTGTGGTGCACAATTTATGTACAATCGGACGAAAATATATATGGGATCTAAATCTAAATCTGAACCAATTTTCACGAAACTTAGCACACATCATTCTAGACGCAATTCATGCCAAATTCGAGCAAATAGAAAGCTATATAGGTACTTTAGTGCACCATTTACCTTAAATCGGTCGGAAAGATATATATATATATATATATATAGAAGCTATATCTTAATCTGAACCGATTATTTCCAATTTCAATAGGGTTCGTCCTTGTGCCAAATAAATGACTGTGCAAAATTTCGTGCAAATCGAAAATATACGTGGGAGCTATATCGAAATCTGAACTGATTTTCCCGAAATTTACCATACATCATTCTACACTTAATTTAGTACGCCATGCAAAATTTCGTGTAAATCGAAGAATATATAGGGACTTTGATGCACCATTTACCTTAAATCAGACGAAAAGATATATCGGAGCTATATTTTAATCTGAACCGATTTTTCCCAATTTCAATAGGGCGAAATAAATGAGCTGTGTCAAATTTCGCGAAATCGAAGGATACATAGGGACGTTGTTACACCATTTACCTTAAATCGGACGAATCTATATATGGGAGCTATATCGAAATCTGAACCGATTTTCCCGAAATTTACTATACATCATTCTGCACTTAATTTAGTACGCCATGCCAAATTTCGTGCAAATCGAAGGATATAGAGGGACTTTGGTGCACTGTTTACCTAAAATCGGACGAAAATATATATGGGAGCTATATCAAAATCTGAACCGATTTTCACGAATCTTAACACACATCACTCTAGACGTAATTCAGTACGCTATGCCAAATTTCGAGCAAATCAAATGCTATATAGGTACTTTGGTGCACCATTTACCTTAAATCAGGCGAACATTATCTGACATAATCTGAACCGATTTTTCAATAGGGTTCGTCCTTGAGCCAAATAAAGCTGTGAAAATTTTCGTGCAAATCGAAGGATATATAACGACTTTGATGTACCACTTACATAAAATCGGACAAAAATATATATGGGAGCAATATCGAAATCTGAACCGATTTTCCTACAATTTAACATACATCATTCTACACTTAATTTAGTACGCCATGCCAAATTTCGTGTAAATCGAAGACTTTGATGCACCGTTTACATAAAATCGAACGAAAATATATATGGGAGCTATATCTAAATCTGAACCGATTTTCACGAAACTTACGTCACTCTAGACCCAATTCAGTACGCTATGCCAAATTTCGAACAAATCGAATGCTATATAGTTACTTTGGTGCACTATTTACTTTAAATCGGACGAAAAGATATATATGGGAGCTATATCTTAATCTGAACCGATTTTTTCCCAATATCAATAGGGTTGGTCCTGGGGCCAAATAAACGAGCTGTGTCAAATTTCGTGCAAATCGAAGGATATATAGGGACTTTGATGCTCCATTTACATAAAATCGGACGAAAATATATTTGGGACCTATATCGAAATCTGAACCGATTTCCCCAAATTTAACATACATCATTCTACACTTAATTTAGTATTCCGTGCCAAATTTCGTGCAAATCGAAGGATAGAAAGGGACTTTGGTGCACTATTTACCTAAAATCGGACGAAAATATATATATATATATATCTCGTTCCTTTTGCCTGTTACAAACATATGCACGAAGACATAATACCCTGGACCACATTGTGATGAATGGTATAAACATTTTTTTCCCCTATCATTGGTGTGGATTTATTAAAAATATTTTTATTCTCGAATTCTTTTATAATTTTTATTTTTCCTGAAAAACCATTGACCAATTTCTGCTTCGAAAATTTAATCATTATTTCCAATTTAAATAAATTTGTTAAAATTTTATTTATTTATTTGTTGAATGTACGCAGAATTCACACTCACACACACACAATTATAAATAAATTTAATTATCAAAATGACTAAAGTATTCAGCAAATATCTATCTGACTGCTACCGGTAAGCTTTTTATACAAATTTATTTTGCACATATAACTGAACCTTGAATTTTTATGAGTGCAAGTGCAAAATTTTAATCTACAAAATAATAAATATAAATAAAATAATATAACACTCAATGAGGAAGAATATGAAATAAGATTGAATAAATATTTTTTGATTCATTAAGCTACTACGAATTTGAGACGCCCTACCCTGTGGGAGTCATGGGGTAAGAGGCACACATTTTTCTTTAGCAGATACCCTGTATTTTTTTAATTTTTGATGACCAAAGTATGTCATTGAGACCACTAATATTTGGTATAATTTTATTATCCCCCTATATAATGTTTCAAACATTATGACAACCTAAGAATACCCACTTTCACCTCAATGAAGGTAATACAAACCAATCTACAAAGAAAAAGGAAAATTAAAAAAAATAATTGCAATTATTACAATTCACTTATAATAAAAAAATTACTGAGATTCCGTTGATGCATGCCACGCAGCTCCACCTCCAACCGCCAACTGTATTCTCGCCTCAGCATAGAACAATTACAAAAACAGCAACACACCTCCATACTGAATTTCATTTCATAAACAACAATTATTTGCAAAAATACAACAACACCAACAAAAATATATGGAGCGAATACATTTACACTTTATTTACACACATACACAAAAACAAATCCTCACACAAACATGAAACGAAAAACACAACATCGGATATTTTTACACTTTGCATGTATAGAGAGGAGTTAGTATCGTGGTGTATCCTTTTTTTAAATGACACTGGTTTTTGCATTTACCTCCCCCCACACTCACTATCTCTTTCGGTTTTGTTTTTCATTTACAGGATATTTGCGGCCCAACCTCGAATACACGGTCTGGTATCGTTTGGCGGATGCCCAGGAATGGCGTACAATGCGTATCATCCAAAAGAATGTCATGGAAGCCACCATTCCACATTTGCTACCGGGTCGCGAATATGAATTTATGGTATTGAGTCAGGATAAATACGGCGATGGCATGTTCAGTAAACAATTTCGATATCCTACACAACGTAAGTTCGGATTCAAGTTATGGTCTGGTCGTCACCAGCTAGTGACTAGTATTGTTGTACAGAGAGCATTGGATTGTTAGTTAATTTAATTTATTTTTACAGCGGCTTTACATACATTTGATTTTCAAAATTGGTGCAGAAGGTGGGGGGGGGATATCACTAAGAGTGGGATATCACTAAGGAAGATACACTTCCTGGCGCGTGGATTTTTTTAAAGAACAAAAATAGGCCTAGATTTTTTAAATACATATTTTTAAGGACTATAAGATGATTTTTTAAGGTCTATAAGAGGCGTGGATTTTTTTAAATCAAAGGTTATAAGGTCTATAAGAGGCGTGGATTTTTCTAAAGTAATTTTTTCAAGGTCTATAAGAGGCGTGGATTTTTCTAAAGTAATTTTTTCAAGGTCTACAAGAGGCGTGGATTTTTCTAAAGTAATTTTTTCTATGGTCTATAGGAGGCGTGGATTTTTCTAAAGTATTTTTTTCTATGGTCTATAGGAGGCGTGGATTTTTCTAAAGTAATTTTTTCTATGGTCTATAGGAGGCGTGGATTTTTCTAAAGTAATTTGTTATATGGTCTATAGGAGGCGTGGATTTTTCTAAAGTAATTTTTCTATGGTCTATAGGAGACGTGGATTTTTCTAAAGTAATTTTTTCTATGGTCTATAAGTGGCGTGGATTTTTTTAAAGAAATTTTTTCAAGGTCTATAAGAGGCGTGGATTTTTCTAAAGTAATGTGTGTAAAATTTTTTGAAAATCTGTTCAGATTTAGATATAGCTCCCATATATATTTTCGTCCGATTTAATGTAAATGGTGCACCAATGTCCCTATATAACTTCCCATTTGCACGAAAATTGGCACAGCCTAATGAATTAGATCTAAAATGATGTGCGTAAAATTTCTTGAAAATCGGTTCAGATTTAGATATAGCTCCCATATATATGTTTGACCGATTTAATGTGAATTGTGTACCAATATTCCTATATATCTTTCGTTTTGGACGAAATTTGGCACAGCGTACTGAATTGAGTCTAGAATGATGTGTGTTAAGTTTCGTGAAAATCGGTTTAGATTTAGATATAGCTCCCATATATATGTTCGACAGATTTAATGTAAATGGTGTACTAAAGTCCCTATATATCTTTCGCTTTGCACGAAATTTGGCACAGCGTTTGAATGAGGTGTTATGTTTCCTGAAAATCGATTCAGATTTAGATTTAGCCCCCATATATATTTTCGTCCGATTTAATGTAAATGGTTCACCGAAGTCCCTATATATCTTTCGATCTGCACGAAATTTGGCACAGAGTAATTAATTAGACCTAGAATCATGTGTGTTAAGTTTCCTGAAATTCGGTTCAGATTTAGATATAGCTCCAATGTATATAGTGGTCGTGGATTTTTAAAGAATTTTTTCAAAGGTCTATAGAGGTGTGGATTTTTTTAAAAATAAATTTTCAAGGTCTGCAGATGACTAGCTGTATATCAGGTCTTCCATTAAATAATATCAGTAGTCTCTTTTCCTCTATCTTGCCTTCCATAATCCGCTCTACCTCTCATTGCTCCCCCAACTGAAATTTCAAAATTAAAATTAAGATATTTAATCCGCCATTGGCAGCAACATCAGATATTAATTAAATATTGCGGAACTCCAGAACAAGCCAGAGGCAGGCACACACAAATATAGCTTAACTGTGTTTAAGTGTCTTTTTGTGTGTGTCTGTGTTTTTTCCTTTCCTCTCCAACAATATGTATTATCCTTTTGTTTAATTTATTTCATTTTTATCCTGTCCATTGGTTCCTGTACGTTATTTTGTTTCGCTTTTATTTTTATCATTTCAGCCAAATCGAAAGTTGACGAATCGGACAATGACAATGTCGAAGGCGACATGTCGTCCGTACAACAATCCCAGCAACGTGTTAACTACCAATCGCCAAGTGCTGGTGGCAGCCACGCCAGCAGCTTTCTAAGTGCTCCATGGAATTTAAGTGCCATTAATAACCAACAAGGATGGCTCTTACATTGGGAACATCCACTTCATGGTCTCGATGCGTTACGCCTTTACACTGTCCGTTGGTGGAAGGAGCCCGAACATCATCTGGTCGGCACGGTCGAAACGTTCGACAACTTCTATCAGCTGCGCCATTTGAAAGAGGATTCAACATTCACCATCCAAGTGTTGGCCATTTCGAATGATGGCGCCCAAGTGCCCGGCACGGAATTGATCATTGAAGTGCCATCGCATCGTAAAATGCGCGCCCTCCTAATTGGCAGCTCCATTGGCATTGCGTTCCTGCTATGTGCCCTGGTCGCCTTTCTCTACGTGAAACGTAATTGCCTGCGTCATTTGTTCAGCGGTAATGTGGTCGATGACGGTGATGATGGTGGTAGCACAATTGAGGATGGCGGTGACAGCGATTGCAATGGCCATGACATAGAGAAGATACACAATACCTGAGTGTACGAGATAACGTGGCGGTTTCGAAATTAATACATAAAATCAATTAATTGTGAAAACGACGGCTCATTTTTATGTTTTGTTTTTGTTTTTCTGAAAATTCCCAGTCCATTTCAACTATAGCAACAACAGCAGCAGCATCATAAATCCATTTTCATCAGTTTTTCCGAGTCCATACAAATACAGGCACACATACTGTCACACACACACATACGTAGAGAAGAAATATATGTCATCAGCCTCAATTGATTTTTTCAGCCAACCCGCCAGCAGCCAACCTGACAATAATCTCCTTTCAGCCATTTTCATATTTGATTATCAACCGTCAACTGGTTGGTAGCCGGGTAGGCTGGACCACTTATTCATTGCCTTTTGTTTTTGGTTGTTTTTGTATTATTCCACGGATGCCACGTTAACGTTGTTCACTGCTTTTATTTTCAAAACGATACGATTCGATTCGTTCGATATGCTGCGAATGCCTTTTTGTCCTTCAAGCTTCTTTTGCCATAAGTCCAGTCTTAGTAAGTTTGCCATTTTTCAACTGCGAGAGATTTTCGAAAGTACGACTACGTTTGTACCGTTAATACCAAAGTAGCTAGCCAACCAACCAACCGACCGATCAACCATCAAATAAACCACAACAATAAATATTCCGTATTGCCTTTTTTGTATTTATTATATTTTTCTTTGTTGTAACAGTTTTAAAATTAAGATTGATTTCGTGGAAATGATTGATTCTTGTATAGCAATAAGCCCCAAACAAAAATAAAATATATATTTAAGATTATTCTTGAAGTAATTAATTCGAAACTAATTTGAAAGAATGAAATAAATGACGAAATTTTAACATGCCTATATTTTGTTTAAATTGAATAAAAAGGAAATAATCGGTAAGTCTGTTAAACTAAATATAGGTAGGTATTTCACATGCAGGTCTTGTGGGTCCTATATGTGGAGAGTCTCATCTACAAATCCTTCCCTGGGCAGAATATTTTCGGGAAGTATTCTATAGTTAGGTCTTTTTAAAATAGACCTTCTGAAGGATTTCTGTGGATAGAAAGCCTTATTTTTTAAACAGAAGACATTATCTAGAAAAGCCTTCTTCCCGTCTTCTATTGGTATTCTATAGAGACATTGTTGACCACAATTTTTTTATTAATGTGCGGGAATCAAATAATTCATTCATTGCCCATCAATTGGTTGTTTTGGGCGGTCAAAGGTGCTGGTTACAGTCGATTTTGTCAGGGTATTAAAGTTTTGTACCTGTCTGACCATTATAATTTCTAAACACGATACAAGTCATAGTTAGAGACCAATCGTCACGAAATTTTGCATGTGGCCAAAGGAGACCCCTATTGTTTTTGTACATGATTGGTTTATATATAGATGGACAAAAATCGTTATTTTAGACTTTTTTACTGGACGCTCTAGAGACCACAATTGTAAAGGGGTCTGACCATAGAACTATCATGACTGTTTTGATGAAGATTGATCAATATTTAACGGGACAACGTTTGTGTGAAAAATGACAAAATGTGAATCCTATGGGGTATATATTTACTCCTGAAAGGTTTACACCCGAGAAATTTATAGTATATCCAAGAGGAGTTGTTATCCTTTAAATTGATAGAAATTTTGTTGTTTTATAAACTTGGATGTGGGAATTTTTACTTTTACTTAAATTCTACAGATGGAAGGGACAACACCTGTAATGGTCTGATTGTATATAGGGAATGAAATGGACGGTATTTTTTCAGGTTTCTAGTCTGTCTAGAGGCCATACTTATAAGCCAAAAATCACAAATTTTACACAGGAAGATAATATGGTTTACTATTGAGAATAGCTCGGAATATAGATTCGTAGAAAGTTAGACTTTAGTTGTAGTTTGTAGAGTATTATATTTTCGGCCCGTTTCGACGTTACTGCTCCGCTCACAATTTTCGATTTCTCTAAAGACTTTACACAAAATTTGTCAATCCATTTGCACCACCTCGAAGTTTTCACCATAAGCTGCATTTTTATTTATTTATTTTTGGTTCTCATTCTCTTTGTAAATGTTACCACTATCTGTCCCCGTTCATATAATAAGGATTAAGTGAGGATATAAGACATATTTATCAATAGGGTTAGCTCTAATATACTATTGAGTTCTTATTGAGTGTCAATCTTACTACGCCATGAAAAGGTCCACCTCTTAAAATTTTGAAGGTCCTAGCGCATTTTCTGACCAGCTTCTCCAAGGAATATTTGTAAAATAAATCCATTTTTCTACATTGCCCTCATACATAGATCACGTGGAATGTTCGCTGTGTTCAAGGTCCTGGCCTAAGTGTCTATAATTTGGTAATTTGTTTTGGCAGCATTTTACTTTGACATACTCTCATATAAAATTGCAGACCGATTTTTCGATTGCGAATTTCCAATTATTAAACCATCCAATTATTTAACTTGTTATTTTAACCATACACACCAAAATTTGTCAATCATAACCATTTTAGTACCATTTAGTACTTTTGTTATCTTATGGTACATATTTCAAAAAATTCTCCATATCTCAACTCCACACAGAAATTCTGACCGCAACAGAAATCTAGCACTTATTACCTTTCGTACTCTTGTAGTATTTATTTCCAAAACTAATTCCAAATTTCATGATTCGATCCCTATAGGTTTTTCAAAAATGTCACCTACTACATAGTCCTAAACATTTATATACATTTTCATAAGAATAAGTACTGAAAAATTCAATAGAAATCATATTTCCAAATTCCGGATTCGTTTCATACAAATACATTCTATCGGATCACCTAAATACAATTTTTTTTAATCTTAGTACCTTTAGTACATCATACCGTCCAATAGGAATGCTATTTGCCAATTTCAGGATTTCAACCCTATCGGTTCACCTTAAATTCAAAATATTACCTGATTTAGAACAAATTAGTAGAAATTCCCAAAAAACATCCTACACATCCCAACAGTGATTCTAACTCCGAAATTTAGGGTTCCATTCGTTCCTCCAATACCTAATTTAGTTGGGCAATCCAGATCTAAATTCGATCTTTGAAATTAGTTTTTAGTAAATAATTTGAATTCGACAGCTCTTTGTAATAATTTTTTTTTACTGAATATATTAAAATCATATAATGTCAAGTAACATGACATTGTTCAAAATTGAGAAAATCCAAATATAACGTTAAAATATATATGTATTTCCCTTCTTTGACGACCCCCACCTAAAATCTTATGAGTAAAATTTTTGTAGAAGTTTGGCCGGTCCGAAATTTGGATACCCTCCACCATCGGAATACTGACAGTTACGTAAAATGAAAATATAGGGAACATACCAAAAAGTGGACCTATAACGACAATTCTACCAATCGTTTGTTACAAACCATAGTACTGTGGTACAGGGTATTAGTCTTTATTACAGGCAAGAGGAAATTATATAGACTCATATTTCCTTTTGAGAATATGCATATAATTACTTTCTGAGTCGATTTTTGTATGTCCGGTCTAGTTCTGTATCTAAATACCTTCCTTAACGCTAAATATTAAAGCGGTAGATGCTTTTATATAGGGGCTGAACCAATTTCAAGAAAACTTGACACACACAAGGTTATAGTAACTTCAGTACATTGTACAAAACTGTGTGCGGGTCGGCCAATCTTTGGTTCTTTAGTGCACAATTTACATTAAATCGGACGAAAATTTATATTGGAGCTATATCTAAATCTGAACCGATTTTCACGAAACTTAGCACACATCATTCTGCACCCAATTCAGTACCCTATTCCAAATTTCGAAAGATATATGGGGACTTTCGTGCCCCATTTACCTTAAATCGGTCGAAAATGTATATGGGAGCTATATCTAAATCTGCACCGATTTTCACGAAGCTTAGCACACATCATTCTAGACTTAATTCGGTACGCTGTGCCAAATTCCATGCAAATCGATATAGGATATAGGAACTTTGGTGCACCATTTACATAGAATCGGACAAAACTATATATGGGAGCTATGTCTAAATCTGAACCGATTTTCATGAAACTTAGCACACATCATTCTGGACCTAATTTCGTGCAAATCGAATGATATATGGAGACTTTGGTGCACCATTTACCTTAAATCGGACGAAACTATATATGGAAAACTTGGCTCACATCATTCTGCACCTAATTCAGTACTCTGTGCCAAATTTCGTGCAAATCGAAAGATATAGAGGGACTTTGGCGCCCCATTTACTTTAAATCGGACGAAAATATATATGGGAGCTATATCTGAATCTGAACTGATTTTTTCCCAATTTCAATAGGGTTCGTTCTTGGGCCAAATAAGTGACTTATGCTAAATTTCATCCAAATCGGATCATAAATGCGACCTGTACTTTGTTTACAATTTAACATATACAGACGGACGGACATGCATAAATCGACTCCGAATGTGATATTCAAAGGCATATTCAAAATACCAAATTACAAAATACCGAAAATTGGAGGGTACCCTTATATGGGGTCTACTCGAAAATAGACCTATATTTATAATTTTTAGTGAAGAGATTTGCTACGCAATAACAACTCAAACTACCAAATTTCAGCGAATTCGGTTGAAAAACGCGCTCAAGAACCCAAAAATACCGAAAATTGGGGGTACCCTTGCATGAGGGCTACCCGAAAAAACTGACCTATATTTATAATTTTTGTTGGAGAGATTTTATACCCAATACGAACTCAAAGTACTAAATTACAGCCAAATCTATGAAAAGATCCGGTCAAAAAAAAAAAAACTAAACTAAAAAAACTAATATACCCTCCATACTATGGTGGAGGGTATAAAGATCACAACTTGGACACACAAGGAATTGAGTTTGAAGGACGAAATGTTCTACAAATTAATTCGACTCATTCGACTTTACTGAATTCAAGATATTAAGATTCATGTATAAGATGTGGCCAATTAAAAATTATTACATATCATTATCATATATTTTCGAATTTTGGCCTATGGAGATTTTTTTCCTTCTGGTCACCGAGGTTTTTCATCCCCAATATGAATTTTCTACCCCCAAAAATCTTGTCGCGCAGCTTTATCTGACACCTTCGGACA